TCTAGATTTATTAATCATGTCTTGCACTAGGAGCACAATCTCTCCTGTTATCTGAGCAATTATTTCTGATTTCATTTTTTCCAGATCCCCTTTTGTTGCCAGTTCAGTGGGTCCAGGTGGTTGTGTATTAGAGTGTTCCATCTCATTTCCCTTTGAGGTTGCTGCAGGTGATCTGGAAGTCTGGTTTTGAGATTTACTTACATGTTTTCTCATTTTGATTTGGGGGGCAGGGGGCGGTGCTGCTGGAACCCGGGAGGATCATGTCCTCTGAGCCGGGAGAGGTGGGACAGGGGCCAGGAGCGGCAGTAGGGATGGTGGCCCAGAAGCCCCTACCTCTGGGGCGGGAGCGGCGGGACCCAGTACCGTGGTGTGGTGGTCTGGTGTCCTCTGTGTCTTTGTAGTGTGGAACCAGGTGGCTGCCTGTCTGCAGCCGGCTCATCCGGCGTGTTCCACGCAACTTTCAACCTCGGTAGGGCGTCCGCAGACCTGCCTGTCTGCAGCGGGCTGACCCAAATCAAGCATCTTGACACTCAACTAAGACCCAACAGCCTCAGAAGCAGAGCTTGACTTTCGGCTCCTGCAAGACCTGCTGCATGGGCCTTCAGCTGACAGATGTTCTGTGGGGCTCTCCTGGCCTCGCTCCTTTGGGACACTCTGAGTACCACACACAAAGGGACGGGAACACAGACCCATAGGCAATGTGTGTCTCCAGCTTCCCACGCTGGAGCCAGCCTGGGACTTCTTGGGGAAGGCCAAGACATGCTCAACAAGGACATCGCCAGCACAGTCACTGGTGCTGCCCAGGGCCAGTGCAGCCGTTTGTGCAAGGAGGTGAGGTAGCCCAGGGTTACCCATTGAGGTGCCCAGACTTCGATGCTTCTGTTCTTTTTTTTTGTTTTTTTTTGGTACCGGGGATTGAACTCGGATCCTTGCACTTGCAAAGCAGGCAATGGAACCACTGGGCTAAATCCCCGGCCTGTTTCTGTTCTTGAATTTTGTGAAGTGACAACTTCAAGACTTTACAAAATACTTTTTCATTCTCATGGCGAAACTTCTATTTGAAAAAAATGCTTCTAGATAACTCACTGTACCATTAGACAAAAGATGGATGTTTTTGATTGGCACACTGAAAATCCGATTCCTTCACTGCTCTTTCTGAGAGCCAGAATTTATATAAATAAAAATTTAAAAAACAGATTTTTTTGTTTACATGTAAAGTTGATGTTGCAAAAAATAGGAGAAAAATACAAACACCAACAAGCATTGAGTAAGAACACAAATGTGTAGCACTTGTTATCAACTCTACCATCATGAGAAGCAAATTTATCACTGCTAAGCCAGGGTTACTAATCACTCCCCTCAAACCATGAGTCAAATGTGCGTCCCATCCTCTTACCTTTCACAGGGGTGAGAGAAGGCCGCAAGTTGTCTAGGTGATGGAAAAAGATCTTGTCACTCGTGGATCCCAGTGGGACAGAGATGCCTGCATTGTCTCCATTGAGTCGACTCCTCACTCGCTTTGGTGGGTGAGGTTTCTTAAATAACTGAGAGGAATGAAGATGACACAGTTTATAACAAAAGATAACACTTGCTAGGCCCTACGACAAGGGCATGGCAATGTTGAGTATGACAGGCACTGCGTGCATCACTTCACTTAAGCTTCATAACAAACATTAGACACTGTATTATCCCCATTTAAAGACAGAAATTCAAAGAGCTAAGACTGCCAGAGAACTCAGACCTTACTAAGCAGGGATAGGACTGTGACACTAAAGCCTGAGTTGTTACCATGTTCTATGCTAAGCTAAATTAGCTTTCTGAAAACAAACCAACCTACTCAAATTACAGTTGATTGACAGCTGTTTTTCAGTGATGCTTAGAAGTTAACCAACTCAAAAACCCAAGGCACTCTACAGGGATAATTTCTGGCTTCCCCTGGCCTTTCTTAATGTGATGCAGCAACATCATTTCGGTGTCTTTTCGGTGCTACTAATTTGCTGAAAGCATGAACATTTTCACCTTTTTAATGCAATGATACAGAGAAAAATAAGACGAGAAAAATAAGTCAAGAAAAATGTTTGGCATTTCTGTTCAGTGTTTCTATAGGATTAAAAATATTAATGTACATTTAAGATTTTTTTCCAAATATTACAGATTTTTGAAATAGATTTTAGTGCACTGTCTGATAGAAAGCTAACAAAGAGGAAAATATGTGAAAAAACTCAGATGAAATGAGACTTAGGATAGAAACATCACCATCATGCTTTGTAAATTAGGTGCCCATTCTACAGAGAAAACAGACAACTCCCAGACCTTTAAATGTTTTCTTATTTTAGCTCTGTGCAGAAGCATGGGGACAGGGTTCTGTTACTGTCTACAGATCCTGAAGTTGTAAAAGGAGACACACATTGTGAACATTCTCATGAATAAACATTTACTGAAGACCTTTTATATGAGGATACAGGGACAGCACTGCACCACATGGGCGTATAAAGATACACAGACATGGCGCCCATAAAACTCAAGTTTTCTAGGATGGTCTTCCGTGCTCTTGCTCAGTGGTAGCTCTTAGGAACATACAAGCTGCCCACGCCTCCTCCCAGTCCACCACCCTCTTCCACTCCAGTATGGTGTAAAGCCCTGCAGTACCCTAGGCATGCAGATGGATTTGCTTGTTCAGAACGTGTGTTTCCCATACTCCTGCCCTTGAAGCATGCAGGAAAAAAGGAAAAGTTTAAGCTAAAAGTTTAGGTGAGATTTCCGGCTGTGCACAGGGTTCACAGACAAGGCCTTTGCTTAAGGAGTGAGCCTGTCCCCTTTGCTGGGGATCAGATTGCTGTGCCCGGTGTGACACTGGCTGTCCTGGCTTTTCCATGGACACAGACATGCCATTGTCCTGTGTGCTCCAAGTGCCAACCCTGGTGTTATGGCTTGTGTATGGATAACCCCCCTCTGTCCTGAAAAGCCTCATGAAGTCATAGGTGGGGCTTTTTCAGAGGTGGCTGGATCTAAAGTGCATGACACTAGGATTGATTGATGGTGCAATGCTAGGATCAGGGGTGACAGGATTAAGAGTGTGAGTGCTATGTACCCTAAGTAGCCTGGATAAGATATTAGGGATAGAAAGAGCTGTGAGTGCCCCTTGTTGCTTTGCTACCTTCTGCCCACTATGAACTGTTTCTTCTCTGTGATGCCACCCTGCCTCGGAGCCAGCTGATTATGGACTTGAACTAAAAGCTAAATAAACCTTTCCCCCTTTAACTTTGGGTGTTGGGTATTTTGTCTAGAGCAAGAAGAAAAGTAAATAAGACACCTGGAAACTTCAAAGTTGGTTAACCTACAGAAAGGGACTCCAGGAGAGATTGAAGCAGGAGCAGAGAAGATGGCCAGGGCTCAAATACAGAGGCACCTGCACTCGGCACAGGTGGGTGGCTAGCACAGGTGGCTCGAGCACCCCACACTGCAGCTCCTCCTGTGCTCCAACCCTCAGTGAGTGCCCAGGGGTGTGGGTCTTAGTCTTGGGCTGCAGCTGTGGTGAAGTGCTGCTCCTGTGGAGGGCACTGCTATGGCAGGTACCCTCCCCACCCGCACTGGCCAGCGAGCCAAATCACACCAGCTGGTTCCTGAGACTCCACAACAGCTTCAAGCTCCTCTGCCCCCAAGCTCACTGCACACAGTGTGCGTGTGTCAGACAGAAAAGGGATACAGAGGCCAGCATGAACTGGCCACTATGACCACGTCTTCCCCTGCCTGAACTCTGCACTGGCTCCCCTGGCACGGACAAAACCCATTTCTGTGTGCACTGTGGTCTGCAAGATCCTCCTCAGGGTAGGAGCATGTACAGGAAAACATGCCTGACTTGTCTGTGACCAAAACAAAATTTCTGTTTATCTCATGTGAAAGGGAGGAGAAAGCAATACTCTAGGAACCTACTAATGTGGTGGGCAGGATTTATGATTCTTTATTAACTTACTCTGCATGTATTAACTTACTCTGCACCTGATACTGCCTGCACGTCTACCATCAGGGACCTAAGAACCTAAGAAACGAAGCAAAGTGCACTGATGGTAGCAAGAGAGCTCCACACCTGCTTAGGAATCTGGCCGAAGTTGTTGATGAACCCGATGGTGGCCGTCTCCTTCAGAGGGTCATTGATATTGTAGATATCCACTTGGCCCTCATAAAAAAGGTGGTGGAAGACGTTGACAGCGTCCACTGCCGCGGGGCCTTGCTGCTTGTAGCCAAAGATCAAGTCAATCCACTCGTGCAGATGGGCACTCACGTAGTCACACTCCAGAGCCTGCGTTTCCAAAACAGGGCAGTCACAGGCTGGTTTACCTCCTGCTCACACAGTCAAAAACTTGGCTAGCTGTCAAAAGGAACTAAAACAACTAAAAATCACAGACAGCATTAGTGACCTAAAGGGAATGGGTGACACACCATTCCTGTCCTTTCAGTACCATGGTCACTGAGCAGGTGGTCCCCACCTCAGTGTGGAGAACTCCCGTTACCTCGCGGTGGACGCGGATGAATTCTCGGGGGTCTCCTTTGGCCCAGGGAGGAAGGATGACGTCTCCGAGCTTGGTGCCATTCTGTTTGCAGCCTGTGCGATTGGATGCATTAAAAAGAAATCAGAAGAGCAGGATAAATGTGACTTCATGTCAGAGTGAGAGACAGTGTAATTAGATTCATCACCCAATCTATAACATTTCACCACAGAAAAGCCCCTCAGAGTCGCCTGACAGCTCCTCAGGGCTACTCTTCACAGAGTCCCTCCTCGGACAGATCTGCTGAGTGTGGGCAACACCGAGGGGGCTGCTCTTAAATGCCTTCAGGAAGCGCCCAGTGCCCACAGTGACGCATATCACCTCCCTGTGGATTCCTCCGAGGTTCTCATAGGCCAGTAATGGTGAACCTTTTAGAGTCGAGCACCCAAACTGCAATGCCAAACCCACTTATTTACTGCAAAGTGCCAACACTGCAATTACACCTGAATACTGAAATTTTAGTTTAGAAAAACCAACTCATACATTAACATCTTTTGTCTTGAAAGAAAAACAATAACATGCGTGCCATAGGTTCTCCACCAATGCCATATGCTAATGGACACGGTCCTTCTGGAGGACCTAGGGCGTGCTGCTCCTGAATGCCAGCCCACAGGACTCCTCGGGAACCATTCATAGACTGTCAGGAGTCTCCAGCTGTACATGAGGTTTCTCAAATTTCTGACACAAATCCATGAGAAAGCTCCACAGAACTGAGTTGTATTTTGTACTGATGACTCTCATTTTAAAAAAGATGAAGTCAAGTGTAATACAATTTTTTGCCTTCTTGAATCATTTAACAGAAAAAAAAAACATTTGGAAAAGACTGTGGCACAACCTGGCAGAAATGAAAACATGATGTGATTAGAATAGACATACTTATTCCATGTAAGTTGTTATTTTAAGTCCTAGTACCGTACCTCTAAAGTATTAGAGAAATCATTTGATATAAAACCTAAACATAAAATACATGAAGTGGGGTGGGCATCTAAAGAAACAAGGTCTTCTTCTCCCCTCTTTTTGGGAAATAACACCAAGATTACCAAGTTCTCCTAGGTACAAATCAGATTCTCATTGTAAAATGCTTATAAACAATGCTGACTCACTAGGCTCACCACAGTTGGTTTGATAAACAGTAATATTAGGAATTTCATAGAAGTTCAGCCCTCCAAATCCCAGGGCACAAAGCCAATTCTAAGTGAAAGGCAATAAAAATATTTCCTTTAGAAACCATTTCATCCTCATCATTGTTATTTGATTATTTATAATATAATACTAAGTCAGAGATACAAAGATCAGTTTATTGACTGCAGGGATATCTTGACTTGGTTAGAACAAGTATATTTTGTTTTTGTTTTGTTTTTGAGAGGGTCCTAGTCCAGGCTGGCCTTGAATGCTCAGCAATCCTCCTGCCTCAGCCTCCCAAGTGCTGGGATTTCAGGCATATGTCACCATACCCAGCTGAAAAATAACCATACAATTTAAGACAAAAATAAATCAAGTCACTACAAGTTCCACAGGGCTCTCTGCAACCACATTCACTTTATACCTTCCCTCTAATCCCCCTGAAAGGCTCTTTAGGTCTGATTTTCTAGGTGATAATCCTGAAGTTTCACGAGATGTGCCCCCAAAGCTTCACGTGGTCATAGGTGGGACTTTTTCAGAGATAACTGGATCTAGAGTGTGTGACTGATTCATGGTGCAGTGCTAGGATTAAGGGTGCTAGGATTCAGGGTGTGGGTAAGACGTATGGGACAGGACGAGGCTTGTTGCTGGTCTCTTGTCCCTTGTCCTTTCTGCCTTCTGCCTGCCATGAACTGTTTGTCCTCTGTGATGCCCCTCTGCCATGCCACCCTGCCTTGGAGCCAGCTGACTACAAATTGAAACCTCTAAAAACCATGAGCCAAATAAACTTTCCTCCTTTAATTCTGGATGTCGGGTATTTTGTCTCAGCAAAGAGAAAAGTAACCAATACAGCCACCTTTGAAAATTCTGCTTCAATCTCTAATACCTACATGACATAACTTTATCAGCATTATCTGGAGCTTTAAAATGATACACGAAATGGTCTTTGGAGAGCACTTGATCTAATGCAGCTCCTCTGCTGCTCCCTGCCATGCTATCTGAGGACATCAGGACAAGAAGGCTGCAGAGTTAGGGATTCCAGGTGCTCTTACTTTTATGTCATTTATCATCTTTTTTTTCCCGGTACTGGGGATCGAACTCAGGACCTTGCGCTTGTCAGGCAGGCAGCGGCACCACTAAGCTACATCCTGGCCCTCATTTACCGTCTTTTCTTGGTGGAGAGGCAAACACTGGTTTTTGTTTTCTTTTGAGGTGAAATTCACACCAACTAAATTAAACCATTTAAAATAAACAATGTGACAGCATTTAGTACATTTGCAGTGTTACACAACTACCATTTCTACCTAGTTCCAGAGTGTTTTTGTCACCACAAAGGAAGCTCATACCCACTAAGCAGCTGCTCCAAGGCTATGGTAACCACCTATCTGTGTTCTGTCTCTGATTTACCCATTCTGGGTATTTCCTGTGAGTGTAACCACATGCCATGTGACCTTCTTTGTCTGGCTTCATCCACGCAGCACGATGGTTTACAAGTTTTTTCAGTGCTCTAGTTAGGGCTTGTGAAAGGTGACTGTATCCTGGGGCTCTACAGCTGCCTTGCTGTGAGGTGATAGGGCCCAGTTAGAAGCAGCTCACTGGGTTCATGACCTAGAAAGATACATTTTCCTTGCTTCTTTCTCTGCTTCCTGGCCACCATGATGTGAGCAGCTTTCCTCCACTCAGGCGCTTCCACCATGCTGTTTCTGTGTTTCAGCCTGGTGGACCTGGATGGAGACTTCCGAAATCATGGGCCAAACAAACCTCTCTTTCTCTAAGTCCTGGGTGTTGAGTACTGTGTGTCAGTGACAAGGAAAGTGACTAAGAGAGATCTGGAGTGGCCCCAAAGACCTGATAGGCTTGATCCGTGGCTTGGTGCTCTTCAGGGTTGGGGCCTAGTGGGGAGTCTTCTGATAGGCTCTTGAAAGGAACAGGGAGACCTCTTCTTCTCTTCTTTCTTTTAACGAGGTGAGCAGCTCTGCTCTGCAATGTGCTTCCCAGCACTGTGCTATCACACTACAGCCTCAGTGCGGTGGCTACCCAGTCACGGACTGAAACCTCCAAAACAAAGATAAACCTTTCCTCTTCACAGGCTGATTATTCCAGGTATTTGTTATAGTAATGGAAAGCTGACTAACACATCCATGTAGTAAGATTTAAGTACTTCATTCATATTAGGGACACATCACCATTCACTTATCTATTCCCACCCTGATAGACATCTGGGCTGGTCTCACTATTCAGCTATTATGAATAACGCTGCTATGAACAAGTTTGTGTACGTACAATAATTCTTTGGTTCATGAACACTTCTGTTTACAAACTTTTTTGCAAAAAAAAGCATTTGGGAAAATTTTGCAAACTCTGCATCGGGTGACAACACGACCACAGCCATCCTCCCCACATAAACACAAACACAGCCATCTTCCCCCAAATCGTAAAACAAATTACTGTAGTTGTACTACTATACTCTTTTCTAATCTGTGTTCTTAGGAGAACTGCTGGGTCACACGATGACTTTATGGGGAACTGTCAAAAGTGCTCTCTGTAATGGTGGAAGCATTTTATGTTCTCACCAGCACTGTAAGAGTGTTCTATTTTCCACATCCATGCCAACCCTTGTTTCCCGGCATCCCCCTCCAAACGGTCGTAGTGGATGTGAAATAGAGCCTCACTCTGGCTTCAGCTGGTAGTTTGCCCTGTGATGACACTCACTGGCTGTTCACATAACTTCTTTGGAGAAATGCCATTGTAGGTTCTTTGCCCATTTTTCAACTGGGTTGTTTACTTTTTTGGTTTTTGAACTGTAAGATAGGTTTATACTGTAGATTCAAGATTCCTTCGGATATATCCTTTGCATATACTTTCTCCCATTCCATAAGCTACCTTCGCTTTCTTGACAAAGCTTTCTATTATTGACAAACCTTTTATCCCTTGCTGCTTATGCTTTTGATATCATATCTAAGAATCCACTGCTAAATTCAAGATCATAAAGATTTCCTCCTATGTTTTCTTATGAGAATTTTATGGATTTGGCTTTTAAATACAGTGTTTTTTTTTAAAGTGTCATTTCAAGAAGGGGCAATGATGTATCACGAAGGTAAAAACAAAAAAGATCCATGACTGTGCTGTTTGGTGCTTATTTTAAAAGTGGATTGTTTGGGTTTGTAAGCGGTCTGGCTGGGATGTCTGGATCACAAGTATCATAACTGAGTGTCTCTGGAAAATTAGGAGAATGTCTTTCTTTCCGTACCTCTCCGTATCTGTCCCTAGGAGGAAAGCCACATGCTGCGAGGTGAATTCCGAGAGAACACAAGAGGACACCAACATGGTCCATGTGCAAATACTGCGGCACTCATGCCCATCCCTCCCACCCCTGCCTTCGAGTGAACTCCCACCCTGTCAGGGAGTCAGCGCTGCTGCTGGGGGTGCCAAGAGTCCTACTTTGTCTCCACAAACCCAGGGCTGCTAATTAAATACATACAGATCATTTTCTAAAAATTTAAAAAGGAAAATACTTCCCCAGATTTTCTGTCAATGAAAATTTGGAAGTAGTATTGTAATGATTTATATGCCTAATGTATAAAAATGGTAGAAAACACATGGAATGAAAAAAAAAAACAAAACCAGAACATTATCTGGCAGGAATGCTCTAACGTGAAGCAACGGAATTCTGATGTATTGTCAAAGAAATACTTGGAGGCACCGATCAGCAAATTGTGTTCCAAGAAACTAAATAAAGTCAAACCTACTATTTCAACTGCCAGATAATATAAAAACACTACTGATAAAATTTCTCTCCTTTTTATAAATGCTGATTTAGGTGTTTTTTTGGAAAATAAGGCCCTAACCGGATAAAGAAAAGTTATTTTGAAATTCTAATTTTAAAATACATTAGCATATAAACTAGAATGTCTTAGGCAATACAAGAGGTTAAAACAATTCATGAAAAATTTGGGTATAGCTCTCTAGGCTATTAATGGTTTTCAGTAATAATACTTTCCAAATGAATTTCACTTCATCTTTGTTTTCACCAAAACAACAAAATTCTGAACATCAGATGTACTCTGTATAATTTTTAAATGTCTCCCAGATTCCAGGTTTGAAATAGCCATTCAGGGCTTTTCTTTTTGATTTAATTCACATACCCAATTTTAGTAAGAGCAACTGTGACTACAAGGAGCTCATTTCCAGTAAAAATGTTTTGCGGACAATCTTCAGAAGAGGGACTCACTTCCAGGGGCCTTTTCTCGGCCAACACTTCCAGCCAGCACCCAAGCTCTACATACCCAGATCAAAGTTGTTGGAGTTGAACAGGAATTCTGGTAAGTAAAAAAACTCTGGGATGAGCTCCTTTACATCTGCCATGTTGTGCTTGGAGGCCGAGTACCAGGCCTCGCGCACGCTGTGGAACATTCGGTCTGCCAGGTCGAAGTGGCCGCCCTGTGGGCAGAAGGAGAAGGTAACTTATCATCAGAGAACCATTTCCACGGCGCAGCCCCTGCCTATGCCCAAGGGCTCGGACACATAAGATACGTTTGGGAACATCTCACTTTCTCATGATCCTATATACAAAAATTTAAATAACCACAGAAAGAAAATCTAATTCTTTTTCCAGTACACTTTATGAAAAGATGCTCAATGTATTTGCTTTATAATTAAAATAAAAAAGAGAGGAAAAAAAATAAAGATTTTAACAAGTCATTTAAAAATATTAAATTTTGAAGACAGGATAAGAGTGAGGGGAAATAACATGGCTCAAGGCCTGCACCTTCCTGGCCCACTTCCTTTCTTACCTCACCCCTATTCTAAATGTCTCCCCCAACCCCACCATTGCCAACTTTCCACCCCCTTTCCCTGATCTGTATTTCTCTGATACCTTTGATTACATTTTTAGAAAACTTTAAAACTTACAACTTGAGTAACTCTCTCAACTAAAATCTACAAACTCTGCAGGACAGGGCTTTTATCTTTCTGCACTGATGGCCTGCCAAGCATCTAGAACAGTGCCTAGCACACAGTAGGCATTCAACACTGATTTGCTGAGTAGATGAAAGAGAATGTGGGGAAACAGCAGGTGAGCTGGAATGACCACTTTTTTTTTCTTTAAACATTTGTTGAATTCAACAACCAGCTAGGGCTAAATTTCCTATACCTGGCTAAAAAGTATATGCTATTACTTATTTAACTAAGGACCCTGTTTATTCTACATGAATACAATATACATCAATTTTGGTCAAACAACTTTCCACTCTAATTCTGTTTAACTACTTTGTCACCACCACTTCACAGGGCTTCTTACAAAGCAAGACAATAGCATTTTGAAGCAGTGATAATCTTGCATGAAAAGTAGGCTTGAGTAGAATGTCTGGATTCCAAGTGTAGAGTTTTACCTGTAGCCTTAAGAATATCTGTGTGAAAGGCTCCATCCGCACAAGGTAGGAGGCCACGATCATTGCAGATGAATAGTGGGTCCCATAGTGGTACGCTGGAGTTTCTCCTGCACCGGACAGTTGAAGCACCATGGAGAACAAGAGAGGAGATATGGAAAACACAATTGGCGTTACTAGGATTGGAAAGGCTAGGAACTATCATTGTGATATCTGCGACATACTGGCATTTGTAGCAGGAAACTTCATGAGACAGACTACTTTTCCCTCACACAGTTGGCAGTAACCCAAAGGAGTATGATTCAGTGGCCTTTTGCCCAAAGCCCAGCACATCTATGGGAACTGTGTTTGAGGCTGTTCAATAGCTCGCCCTTAGGTGCAATCTTGTTCCATGAAGCAAAATATTGACTGATAGTTCCTTTTTCCTACTAGGCTGTGGCTTTGCAATTATATATTTCTCTAAATTGTTGCCTATAATATATATTTAACACATCCTCCTTGAGGGAGGGAAGGGAGAAAGAGACACACACACAGAGAAATAGACATGGTGACCTCTCAGGCATCCTAATACTAGTCTTAAGCTTTTTTCCCCCTTTCTTTTGCTTGTTTGGAGGGGAAACATGAACAACATTAAACATTATAAATAACAAGTTAACTGTATGGTTTAAGAAGTTAAATCAATTCATTTTTCAAAATGCAAAAGGGTCCAAAGAGTGCCCTAATAAAATTAAAAGAGAGCCAATAAATGAAAAATATAATGGCAAAATATAATGAGAAAAGCAGACAATGATGAGAAATTTCTGCCAAAGGCAAAGCAGCAGGAGTCTAAAGAGCAAACTATGAATACCTTCTGGACATGGCCATCAACTGGCATGCAAAATCATATTTTTTCTAACAATCTGTGTATAGGTGATTAACATATGTAACATATGATGTAAGCAACCTGAAGAAGTATGTAAGGGCGTCAAGCCACTAAATAATGGCTTAGCTGTGAACTTGGTAACAGAGTTCAGTGACAGAATGAGTTACTCACCATTAGGATCCTCCCAGTCTTTGTACCGCTTCTTATACTGCGCTAATCGCTCATCTGTCTGTGCCCCCATAGGCTTAGCCAGGTTTCTAAAGGTCTTGGAGTTAGTAAGATCTACCTCCTGAAACACAGAACAAAACCCAGGCCAGGTTACCAGACACCCCATGTTCTGACTGAGGGAGACACAGTGGCTGCGCTGGGTGGTCATGACGGAAGCAGGTGGAGCTGGACTCCGCAACAGTCTGTGTACACACTTCCCACTCACGCTTGAATAGAGACACACTATGCGTGGTGCTTTGTTAACTGATGCTGTTGGAAGACAGCTGCTTTGAAACGTATTTGTTTCTCAGGAAAGCACTCAGGACCCAGGCTTTGGGAGAGGAGGAGCAAGACGGAAAATGCTTCCAGTTTTTGCCCAGAACACAGCAGCAGCCTAAGGACACAGGGCTCTAACTCATTATCCCCGTCGCACGCATGACTGGGGACAGAATCTCCTTCCTGTACCTCATGCCCTGGGACCTTTCCAACTTCACTCCTGAACATCTCCTTACGGGCTGTCTGGGAGTGATACAGACTAAAGCGTTCAGTAACCTTTCCATCCTAAAAAACAACATACCACCTTTTTTTTTGAGACAAGGTCTTGCTATATAGCCCAGGCTAGTCTCAAATTCACAGTGATCCTCCTGCCTCAGCCTCAGAGTGCTGAGATTACAGGAATGTGCCACCATGCCTGGCAAAAAAACAACACGCCAGATCAAGTGACTTGCAAATGAGATGGATCTCCTACTTACAAGAGACTATTTCAAAGGTTCACGTCTAGCCCTCCTAATTTATATATTTAAAAGAAAACCAAAATTTACTCCCTTAACGTTTTAAAACTAGAAATTTAAAATATGTGCCTGTGGGATTTTTAATGTGTGTTCCATAGGGCAAAATGACTGACTAATTTGGGACAGGAGAAACTAATCTAGAATCATGAATGAGTAACTACATTTATCCTTGAAAAACTTACCCCATGCAAAGTACCTCATGTATACTGAAGTCAACTAACGTTAAAGTGCATAGTAAGTACCAGGCATGTACTGGGGTTGGGAGTTGGGTGATACAAAGGAGTCTACGTGCTCAGGACCTTACAATCAAGTAGCATCAGACAATGGGTATTTCTACAACATGTTGTATGAGAAAGGACTATGTTTGAAAAAGGGGAAAAATATACCGTGACACACAGCTAGAAGGTAGCTCCGGAATAGATGTAGGCCAGAGAGAGAGAACAGAGGCTCCCATCACAGAGGTCAATTTGATGTGCTGGAGCTGGTGAGCAGGCTGGACTGCACAAAAAAGATACTGGGGTACAAGAGAGGGAACTGGGGTGTCACAGGAGAGCAGTGTTGGGATACACAGGCAGGAACTACTGAGGTTTGTTTTGGTTTTTATTTTGGCACTGCTAGGAATGAACTGAGGGCCTGGCACATGCTAAGCAAGTACTCTATCACTGAGCTATAGCCTCAGCCCCGAACTGAGGTTTGAAAATTTTCTCCCAGTCTGCAGGGTAATCAATGAGCAAAATTAAACTTGCTGTAGTGCAGAGGACAGTGAAGGACATAGGATAGGCAGGAGACTGTTGCAATGGCCCAGAGAAAATAGCAGAAGGCTGATGAAGGAAGACGCTAGAAAAGCATCCAAAGGCAGCCATGCCTCAGCCACTGAGTGTGACAGCAAGGGTGGGGTACCACCTCCTGAGATGGGGTTACCCAGAGTAAGGCTGGGACTGCATCCAGAGAAGGAGAAGAGAATGAGAGGTCTGGTCATGGACCTGCAAGCTGGTGCAAGACAGGTATTCATGTACACATTTGTACAATTCCCTCCCCACAGAAATGCATTTTCTTTGGAGTTCCTGCCTCTTTAAATACTGTATTTTTTCTTTACTTCCTTGGTTAGCTTAAAGGAAACCTATTTTCATTTTATCAGCTTTTACTCTTGATTTCTTTCCTTTCTTCTATGACATTCATGTCTCACTCAAATGTGCACCAGACCTGCAGATTAATTGCACAAGCAATCTATGGTTTTGGACATCGAATGTACTTGATTATGCTCATGTGGGTAGGGAAGGTTTCTTTCATTACACTAATGTTTTCTGAGAACAGAAACTTTACCTTTTTCTCTCATGGAAGGTATATAATTTCTAATAAAATAGGCAGCCCTGATTCAAATGAATAAGAAGGTCCAATAAATTTATCTTTTTTCCCTTTTTGTTTGCTTGTTCATCATGGGCCAAGCTTCTCTTGTTTTGACTAGTTACTGATTCATGAGAACTAGTCAGACCTTGATCAGGAGGAGGCAAGGGAAGACAGGAAGGATGATATTTATAGGTGTCTACTTACTGTTGATTTTGATCCCTAAGTCATGTGCACGTTGGTTAGAAATCATCTTCCAAGTCTTCTTGGAAAAGTACAAAACAGTCCATTTATGTGGCACGGATATTTTGCAGAAAAGTCATTTCACATTTTTCTAGCAAAAATTCAAACTACTCAGATGGGTTCTGGCACTAACCAAAGGATTTTAATTAATGAGCACTTTAGGAAAGTGAACAGACATTATGAATTAATGCCTAATATCCACTAATTGGGTCAGTTACTTTTTCTATGTCCAAGCTGAAATGCTTCCCATCTCCTTTTTTTTATTAAAAATTTTTTTTCTTGACAAGTTTTGTTTTATTAAGACTCAGAGACAGAGTAAAGGTGGTATGTCATAGCTGTACTATCATTTCTTCCTCTGAATTTTTATAGTATCAAAGAAACCTACTAGATACCCGAAATGTGAGTTCATATTTTCTAAAATCAAAGAATGAATTCTAGGAACAACAGAGGTTAAGAGTAGGAAAAATTTATTTAGAGAAATATAGCTTCTGTCTAAGAGAGACAGAAGGGGACCCAGGAAGTGGGTTACCCCAATTTTTCCTCTTTTTGGAGACAAGGCCTCACTGAGTAGTTCAGGCTGGGCTTGGACTCACTATGTAGCCCAGGCTGGCCTCGAACTCAAGGTGATCCTCCTGCCTCAGCCTCCCAAGTGCTGGGATTTACAGGTGTGTGCCACCGTGCCTGGCCCCATCTTCTTGAAACACAGTGTCTGTGTGTGCGAGGAGCCCTAATTACAAAGCAAATGAAATGTTTGGGCAATTGCAGTATCTTTTCATTATTTTTGAAAGTGCATTCTGCTTAGGGAAAATGATGTGAGATTTACCTCTGAGTCATAATCTGCAAGGATCCAGGGAAAGACAGGATACTGCATGAGATCGTTGTATGATCTGCCAGCCAGAGTGTTCAAGTGCATCAAGTACTGGAAGTTGCTGATTTCACCTCTCTTGTGAGAGATAATAAAGATTCATTTTAGAACAATTGATTATTTCCACTATGTTCATTTAAAAACATTTTATATGTAGATGGATGGCTTCTTTTTAATAGATTTCAGACCAAAACACTTTTTCCTAATACAAAAACACATTTTCTCTAAGGTATATATTTTATGGATTATGTAAATGCTTTTAACTTATATGTTTGACCTACAAATTACTAAAGCTTATATATTTATTAAGCTTACCTCCCACCTCTGAGTCACAGACTTCTCTCCAACCAACGTGCTAAGTAACCCAGATCTAAAAACAACACAGAATAAAATAAATGGTAGGCAATATAGTTTTACACCTAAACAAGTATCAGGTTGAAAATTTTAAGTCACCTGCTCCAGGAAATTTTCAAACTATGGGAGACTTATTAATGCGTTATGAAATCATTTTGGTGGGTTGTGATCAGCATTTTGAAATATGAAATAACGCTATTCAGATGAAGAAAAGAGAGAACACCAGAAGATATCACATATACTAAGCGAAAGTATTTTCTGTGAATTTTTAGTATTTATGATACAGATTGTACATACTGGGACGTAATGCAACATATGTAAGTGTAGGTTTTGGTCAAGAGTTGAAAAAACATTAATCTAACTGTAGAATTTTTACTGTAATAGGAGGTGAACATATCCAAAGGTATGTAGTGGACGAACTGAAATATTAAGCAATAGTAGTAGGTTCCTAGTACATTTCCTAAAAGAGTTATTGAGTAAGTCAATAAAAGTCATTGCTGTTCAAGGTCATTTAAAATTTATACACTACTTTTTGGGGTTTTTTTTTGAAATATTGATATATTATTATCTTTCAGGAGTGCTTTTTTTTTTTTTTTAAGAGTAGGAAAAATTTATTGAGAGAAAGATAGCTTCTGTCTAAGAAACAGAAGGGGGACCAGAAAATGGGTTGCCCTGCACTACTTTTTGGATAGCAAACTTCCTAACATTGTTATAAGACTCTGTTTAACATTTATCAGCTTTATAATACTGATAATTAATAGTTGGTCAAGGAACTTAAAGAAAGCAACTATATTATCTTCAAGGGAATTAATGGATTTGCAAACATAAACACATATCACTTAGTAACACAGATACCAATTTCCACCTCTAGATAAATACTTTCAATCGTGTGAACTAATTACACAGGATTTTCTCTTTGGGAAAATAGTTAATATTACTCTTCAGCTTTGATAAGGGAAAACTGAAAAGAGTAAAGTTGGAAATGAATTACTGCTTTCTGCCTCTGAGCTCTTAAAAGATTTTTAAAAACTGCCAACTCAGCTAAGAAGGCAGTAAGAAGGACAACAGAATACCAAGTTCAGGGTGATCCAAGTAGGTAGAAGTTTACCAAGCAGAAAAAGGCTCAATATGCTTTATGGAAGCCATTTGCTTCCTGAATTTATGTTATTCACAAAAGTGATTTGGAACAGAACATGTTTTCAAGGCAGAACACAAAGTGTATATCTAGTATTTGGATTTGCCAACCCTTGGCTAAAGAGAAATGCATCAGCTTAAATGTATTTTGATGCACACAGACTGGAATGATATTTTATTTACAAATTACAGAATCCCTAGTAAATTTTTACGTCACTTTCTTGCATGCAGTAGTGATTAATTTGAAGCTGAAAGCATTGCTGCAAAGGGCTAGAAGTCACTGGGTGACTGGAAGGGATTCCTGAATTGGCTCCCTCATCCAGAAGGGCCCTCTGAGATGGAAAGTGGCTCTAGAGGAGCACAAAGGAGGCACAAAAACAACAGAAGTTTAAATTTAAATGTCAGGTGGCTGAGAGGTAGCTCAGTGGAACAGTTCGTGCCTGGTAAGCACCAGGCCCTGAGTTGGATTCCTGGCATCAAAAAAGAAAAAAGAAAAAAAAATTAAATGTTAGAAAACAAAAGGGAAAGGAAAGCAGGACAGTTTGTAACAAATAGGACAAGCCAGAAGTAATAAATATCTTTTATAAAGAAATCATCTACAAACTGAAAATAACTGAAAGGAAAAGAGGGCAAAAGAGATAGGTAACTTACAAATAATGTATTAAAGTGGCTAACAAATATATATGGAGCTTAAATTTATTATCAGTGAAATGTACATTTAAAAATGAGAAAGCATCTTATAAATCAGTAAAATGATATAAAGCTGACAAATATCTATTATAAGCTTATTTAATAATAGTGGAATTTTCTAATAATGATGTAATATGCACTTGTATAATTTTATGGATATCAAGTTGGGTAACAAGTATTAGTACTTTTTTTTTCATGCCAGGAATCGAACTTGACCTTATGCTTGCCAGGCAGATGCGGCACTGCTGAGCTACATCCCCAGCCCCCAAAGTATTAGTATTTTGACAGGAAAACCTGACAGAAATGAAATACCAAAAAGGAAGCGACTGCTTTATACATATAATAAAACAGGTAGCAAATAAAGTTATGCTTCTCAATAATTTTTTGAAGATTGGTAGATATTCAAATAAAAGCAGAATAAAAACTGGTATTCATAGTATGAAGTCCACTGTACACATAGCAACATATGTGTCTCAAAAGACCTGACAGTAGTTGGTCAAAAGTGAGCAGTGGTTTGACATGTGAGATTCTGCACACTTTGTTCTTTGCCTCTTTCTAATTTCCAGTATTTCTTTCAACAACCACCATGGAGAAAACACTGATTAAAAATGCTACATAACACTCCCTAGACAAGAACCACCCTAACATCCCAATTCCACCGTAAGGTGCAGATACAAACCACCTACCCCTGCTCCACACTGGTATTCGGCCGCTGGCCAGACACTGACTCTGAACTGTCTGTCAGGGATGGCACCACTGCCAAAAACCTGGAAAATATAAAAATACCATAAAATTGCAGATGAGGTCTCAATAAGGTTCTAAGAGAAGCCTATGAAAGGGCTGAGACCTTCACTGCTGCAGTGACCTGTGCATTGCCAGCAGCAAATGGCAGGCAGAAGAAAGGGACAATAACGAGGACACCAAATATGAAGGTCCTTGGTAGATTCTATCACACTGGACCAAGACCCACACTGTCCTGATACCAGAAGGAAAAGAAAGGCCTTGCAGTACTGATTTATGGGAACTGAATCAACTAAATGGAGTCCTAGTGATTTACTACAGCTACGTAGTCACATGGCTGCAGGTGATAATGATGGCTAAACAAATGATGGAATGGACTTCAGCAAACAAATGAAGACACAGAGAACTTTTGGCTAGGTGTGGAAGCACACTCCTGTAATCCCAGCACTCAGAAGGCTGAGGTGGGAGGATCAAATGTTCCAGGACAGCCTGGGTTATACAGTAAGACTCTATCTCAAAAAAAAAAGAAAGAGCTTTTAGAAGATACTGCTATAATTTTCTTTCAGGAGTTGCTCAGGATGTCAGTATTAATTTTTTAAAAGGCAAAACAGAATTATCAGAGAATTCCTGGAACAGATGTAGACACTGAAATTTGGATATGCACAGAAATTTCCCAGAGAAAGACAAATATCTCCTGAGAGCAACTTCTGGTTAGGAAGAGCAAATAACAACCTAGTGATGCAAACAACATCATCTTTAGGAACTGCTAAAGTAGGTATGTCACACTGCATCTCAGTCACTGTGACTTTGTTCTTCCCAATGGTGAAAGGAGGCCCAGGTCACCGATGCCCAGCCTGGGCACTCCCTGGAAGGTGCTTACAGGTGACTGGACAGTAGCCCCCTCTCTGCAGTGTTCATTCTGCAGTTTCTGTTGCCCACAGTCCCCTTGAGCCAGTAATATTAAAGGGAAAATTCTAGCAATAAAGAATGTGTATGTTTCAAATAACTTTTATTATATAAATACAATATATATGAAAATTACATAGTATATAAATAGAAATATATTGTTATAATTGTCCTAGTTTATTTTTGCTATTGGTGTCAATCTCTTATTGTGCCCAATTGATCAACTGAGCTTTACTACAGTAGTTATGTATACATATGAAAAAGATAAGCATAGGATTTAGGCTATGTGTAGTTTCTGGTGCTGGAGCAACATTTTGGAACACATCCCATGGATCGGGGTGATTACCACATGGTATGACAAGGATGTGCAATGTAGTATGATATTCATCATTCCTCAGTAAAGTAATTAAATAAAAAATTCTAGTAAATGAAGGATTGCAAGCACCTATGCCACTCCTCAAAGAATAAGAAAAGGCCATCATCTCTGATTAGTTCATAGAAGCCTTATTCACACACCCAATAGAAATATCTTTATGCTCCATGGATACATACTATTTTTCTTTGAAAAAGTAAATTTTGAATACAGTTTATCAAAGTTTCAGATATGCTAAGATTAGATCATCAACTTTATTTGCTATGCTACTTTTGCAATAATGAAGGTATCCCACCTTCCTCCTAAGGCCAGCAGAGTTTCTTGGGAATGCAATTTTCAAGGGGACTCAGTTCTGGAACTTAGGAGCAAGGAATGGTACTGTCAACATTTTGTAAAGATGAAAGGAGCCTATTTTGAATCTAAAAAATTGTTTTTTAAGCTAGAGTTTCATCATTCTTTTATAGTTACAGACACAAGACATAGTGATAAAAGAAGCTTCTGATAATCTCTAAGTTACAAAAGGAAAAATGGTACTTCACAATAGAATTGCATCATTTTAAAAGCTAGAAGATCCATATTTTAAGAGGCTGATAAAAGTGAAACAAGTATTTTCTTCAAAGATGTTGACTCACTCATCTAAATTCTAGAGTTTTAAAAACTAGCTGAACTGGTTGGTAACAGCTTCCCCTCCCATCTCTTCCCATGATCTCGTATAAAGCATTCATTCCTATTACACAAGACCTTTGATAGACTTTGTTTCTTATTCCTTTCTGAAAAGCAAGGAGGTAATTCCGTCCATCTCCAGAGAAAACTTCCACAGCAATAGGCTTGAGAAAAAAGAGAGAAAAACAGACGATCACAAATGAGATTTTATATACTAACTTTTCTGCTATAAATTTCTGCAAAGCTTCAGTGATTAATTGACTGAAAAATATTTTTAGAGCCATAAATTCTTTGGAGATTACACTAGACAATAAAACATTTTTCTTATTCTGCTTAACTTAGAAAAAATTTAAAAGTGAAATGATAAAAATACAGTAATTATAAAATTACAATTTTACAAAATTTTGTAATTTTTTTCAAAGTTATATAATTTTTATATTAAAAGATAATTAAAATATCGATCTGGAAAGGTACAGATAAAGTTGTATAACAAAGGTATCACTCAAATTTTAGGCGATGTTTAAAAAAGATACATTACACAGTTCTGCACCTCTGTGAGCTGTGAAGAACAACCCAGATTCCACAGAGAGTCCACATATCTGTTTTAAAATAACACATTTTCCAAACAGAGGAACATGACGGACTGTTTACCACCACCAAACCCACTCACCTGCAGGAGGTATCTCCTTTTATGCACTTCCTTGATATCTTCATATGCGAAAAGGCTGCAAGTTCTCTTGAGCTGACTGGGGCCTTGTCTGGCTCCTCGAGGGATAATTGGCTCATGCATACTACAGGTGGCAGAGTGGAAGAGGAAGTAAACAGAAACATAGCACGAGATCAGCTCACTGCCCAACAACGGGTGTGCGATTTTCAACACAGGAACAGAAGGAGTGACAAGATACCAGAATTTTCAGTTTTAAAAAAATGTTCACGAGAATAGTTTGTTAGCTACCCACATACAAGGAGCCCCTTCTGATGAGTACAATTAAAAAGATCCCATTACTGCTGTGAGGGACCAACTTTTCTATCACACATCACTGGCACAGTTCCTAAGCCCATACATGTATTTCTGGGATCCCTAAAAACTTCTAATTTCTTTTAAAGTTAGAACAAAAAGACCAAGTTTTTAGGTAGAAGAAAATGTTTTAATGTACTGTTTAATATATATTTATCAACAGTCATGGACTGTAATTTTTAATATTTTTGTATTGAAGTTATAACATGACCCTCATTATTGATGAATGTGATTATTTGAAATATCTCCTAGGAATGAACCAGAGACCACATCTATATTCATCAGCATGAGATAGTTAAAACATTAAAGGAAGAGAAAAGACCACTGGACATTCTAAGGCTAAATCTTCTTATCTTCTTTCTGGTTCTGTCTTTTGAATTTCCCACTACACACCTTCACTTGCATCCTAGAATTGGCAAAAGAAAGGGGAGATGGATAAAACTCAGTTGATCCCCATGTGGGCTTCTATGATATTCACATGCCATGGAAACTCTTTTGTTTCTAAGAGTGTCACGCAGCAGCCTGCATTTTTCTCTACCACTGTGTATTTACTGATATGTTATAATATATACAAATAACTTGGTGTATGATGCTACTAATTCACAGAAATAAAACTTTTCAGTTTGGTAAGCAAGGCAACTTTTTCTTTATTACCTTGAAATAACAGTGTCACCCTTATGAATGTCATTGCAGACACATAGGGACCATGAGATAACGTTATCTAGGCATAGCTTTGGATTAAAAAGAAATTATGCAAACTTATTTTCTGTCTTCTAAAGATCGCTGTACTTTGTGCTTCTTCATTCATTTACTTACTTTAGAGGTAAGGTTTCAATATCGCGTATTTCCCTGGTTGCCGTCATGGTAAATCCATCAATCACATAAAAATGCTCTTTACCGAAAAGCAGTAGCCCCTCACTGGTGTCCAGGCCCTGGACGCGAGCACAGCGGTACATGTGCTGGATCTGCAAGGACAGCCACAAATATTCTTTAATGTAGTTTTTCTAAAAAGTTCAGATGATCTCTACTTTTTGGTTACTCTATTATAGCAAGCCCTGAGCTAAGCATGTGAAACCTGGATTTGAGCCTGTGAAGAGTCAGCCTCCGCTGCTCTGTGGGCATGCACCTCATGTTCTCCTCCTCTTTGGTTTTCTTGGGGAATTCGTCATACACCAAACATGTTCGTGCTGTCTTACAAGCACAGAACAAGCTAGGTGAGGCTCTGTTCACCTGGAAGGGCCAGGCACAGTAAGCCTGGCAGGAAAGGGGCTTGAGAACTACATGAACGGAGATGAGACTAGGATGTACCCTTGTGAAGCAGGTGGACAGAGAGACAAGGACAACAGCTTGCAAGCAAATTCCTGCTTCCATTGTCTCACACTTGTGGATTCGGTCAGGTTTCCCAGGTTTTCTGAGCTCTCTGTGTTTTCATCTGCATATTTCTAATGTACTTCACTGGCTGCTGTGACATGCAGTGAGATGAGGTGCATACCCATGACAGGATTGCCATGTAGGTCCACACGTTTACCTCTCTCTTTTTCTAGAACATTCCCTAGAGCAGGAACTGTGGAAACTGTCCTCATTCACCCCTGAGTCCTGCCTTCCTGGGGACTGTTGGGCCATTGTAAAGAACCAAGCTTGGCAAAGTCCCACTCTGCTCACAGGAGGAAGAATTACAAAGTCTCTCAAAGTCGCTATTGTTTTCTTTTCAAAGGGAGGTATCTGATTCTTAGTAAAAAATTCTTTCTTGCTTTAAACTTGGTTCAACACGAGTCAAGGGGGAAAAAATCAGCAACTAAATCAGAGTCAAACAAGCGTCATACGAATGTCAGCTTAAATGCATTCCCTGTGCTATTCACACATAAAGCAATCAGTGCAAAACTATACTTAGGAGATTAAAGTTTCACAAATGGACAGAGAACAGAAAGTTGGCTACCAGAGGCCATGGGGACAGACTTGGGAGAGGAAAGACACTCATCAAAGGTTGCAAAGTTTTGGTCACACTGGAGGGTAACTCTTAGCGATCTACTGCCCTACATAGCAACTGCAGCTAAGACTAATGCATTGTGGGAAAAAAAGAATATTGCATTGTGTACTTCAAAATTGCTAAAATACATTTTTAACATTCTCAACAGAAAAAAAGTGATAAATTGGTGATGTGACGGATATGTTAACTAGACTGTATAATTTTACAGATCAAAAAAATCTCATAAATGTACAGCATATTTACCAATTAAAAATAAAATTTCAAAAATAAAAGTTCAAAAATAGTATTACAATAAATATCCCAAAACACCTAAACGTGAGTCAATTTTCACTGCCATGTTTGAAATTTTAATTACTCCAATAATAAAAGGGTAGAGTGTTACACAGAAAATCCTGATTTTATTTATTTATTTTTTTGCTCTACTGGGGATTGAACCCAGGGCCTCCTGAGTGTTAGAAGGTGAGACATGCATAGTACACTGAGTTATGCCTTTAGCCTACTGATATACTTTCTTTTCGGTACCAGGGATTCAACTCAGGACCTTGTTCTTGTGAGGCAAGTGGCAGCACCACTGAGCTAAATCCCTGGCCTCAGTCTACTGATGCACTTTTAAACCAACTGTGTTGTAGTTATATATTTAATATGTAGTAAGTAAACTTATATTTATTTTCTAAGTGTATAACCAGATGAATTTTCAAATGCTAAAAATATAGTGTGACCAGCAGCGTTCTGAACAAATAAAAGCACTCCCAGGACACCAAGGAGCTGCTGCTGAGTTTCCTTCCAATCTGATATACTTCTACAGTTCTGTGATTTTTCCTTTTTATATTTTCATTCGTGATTATTCAAGGCATACATCTGAATAGAAGTGTTTGAATTATACCCAATTTCTGGTTATTACTTTTTTTTTGGTACCAGGGATCCAACTCGGGGCCTTGCACTTTCGAGGCCGGAACCACTGAGCTAAATCCCTGGCCCTGGTTATTACTTCTTAAGTGGACTAGAGCTCAAGAGTTGTAACAAGACCTAATACAACAGGCGAAAAGGACACCCTTTTAAAAGGTGATATTCCTTAGTCAATTAATTCCTTCCTTCCTTCCCTCACTCCTCCCTCTCCCCATTCCTTTATTTATCAACCAATGACTTTCTCACTTCAAGGTTTAAGATGTATCTATTATGTGACAGGGACTGCATAAGGCAAGGGGATGGGATGAGGCCACAGTGGCTACCTGTAAGGAGCTCACCATGCAGGGAGGAACAGACACAGGAACAAACAATCTGACAAGACAGACTGATACAGACAAGGCCTTATGAAAGCTTAGTGAAACCCTGTCTCCAATCAAAACTTGAGAAGGGTTAGGGATGCTGCAGCCCAGGGTGCGGCCTTGGTTCCAGCCCAGCACAGAGGGACAGAGGAGGCTGCTCAGCCCAGCCTGAGCTGGCCAGACAGATGGGAAGACTTCCTGCATGTGAGGGTGACAGACATCCAGGCTGGTGCAGCAAATGAGAGATGTAGGGTGGAGGTTCCTCAGGTGAAGGAGACGGGTACTTTGGCAGAATAAACAGTCTGAGGAAAGAATGGAATTAACCATGGTGGACTCGATGAGCTGCACACTCTCCGACGCTTCTAGGGCACAGGGAGTGAAGAAAGCCTTTAAAGTGGGCAGCATGCAGGAGGCGGTGAGGACCAGGAAGCAGTGCCATTTCCTGGGAGTGAAGGGGAACAGCTAACACGGGGCTGGAGCTGTCTGGAGGTGGTGACCAGAATTATGGAGAGGTCCGATTATTGGAGGGGTCATCTGCATGGACTTGAAATACAGAATTTCTGCAAGAGAGTCTGAGAAAGGTATGGCAGAAGAGTGAGTTAGGTGCAGTATCTGATGAAACCTGACACTCTTCAATGCAGAGGTCAGGAAGCCCTTGAACATGAGAGAAGGAGAGGAAGATGGAATGCAACAGGCCTTTCACTATGTACTTCATTACAGAGGTGAAAATACTCATCCTAACTCTCTATCAGCTTGTCTTATAATATGATAACTATAATTCTTATTTTTCAAGAACGTCATACCTTTTCTCCTTCCTCTAGCAGGCGCAGTAACGTGGCATTGTCTGTTTTCTCCTCCTCTTCTATGGCACTGCTCTCAGCAATCTGGTCTTGTAGCTGTTCCTGGTTCTCCTCGTCTCCTCCATCAGGTGCAGACCGAGAGCGCTTTAGAGGAGGCTTGACCAGACCTACAGGATAATAACCAAGAGGGTCATGTGACACTAGAAGGCCCATGTGGGGATGCAGGTTAGTCCCTTGTCAACTGCAATGGTTTTGAGAAGTGTCCCCTAAGCCTTGGCCCTTCAACATCTTGTTTGTTATTAAGATGATAGATGATTGATCCAGAGCATATAAATAATATGGCTTAAAAAAGAATGGCACTATTGGGATTGTGAGGGAACAAAACTCTTAGGGGGTGGGGTCTCATGGGAGAAAGGTAGGTCATTGGGGGCATGGCTGTGGAAGGGATCACGGGACCTGGGTCCCTCCTCTTTTTTCACCTTCTAGCTGGCATGAGGTGAGCAGCTCTGCTCCATGCATGCTCTCTGCACGATATGCTACCTTCCCACAGGCCCACAACATCAGGACCTGCTGACCATGACCTGACACTTCTGAAACTGTGAGCCACAATGAATCTTTAGTTTTTATAAGATGATTTATCTCAGGTATTTTTCACAGTAATGGAAAGCTGATGAACATAGTCCCTCCTGTCCACTTGCAATGTGACACAATGCTAGAAGGTATAGGAAGCAACACAGTTCAGTGGTTAGTAGCAAAAGCTTGCAAATTAAACAGCTGCATGACCTCAGGAAATTATCTTCCCTTCATCTATAAAACCTCAGAGGACTGCTGGAAGATGAACTGAGGTAATTCATGTAGTGTTCGGTATCAGGCTTATTACATGGTAAATTCTAAGTGTCAGATGATGATGAGAAACACGGGGCTTAACAAAATTAGTAATAAGAACTGTTTATAGATGAGTGGCCCTGAAGGGACATTAGGAATAAGTAATAAATGATGGATCACTGCCACAAAAATAAAGACAGCAAATTATGAACATATTTTAAGAGATTCCACTTACTTGCGTGGCTCATGCAGATTACAGCAAGCCTCATTTCACAAGTGGCAGTATGGTACTTCATATAGGAATAAATTTAGTCAAAACATCAGGTCAGAAAGAATAGGAATAGGATTTTTATAATATAGGAATAGATCATGTATTTGCATATTAAGGAAACACATTAATGAGTATATTTTGATAACTTTATTAAAATCACAGTCACGTAAATTAAAATCACTTAATGATAGTAACCAGTGAGAGTGATCCCAAAGTATGGGCAGCCCTCAAAATTAAATTAATATTCCTTAGTTGTACCAACAAAAGTAATATTACACTTGCTGGTAGCAGGTGCTCTAGGCATTTCGCAGAAGTGCAAGTCAGCCTGTTAATAGTTTTATCCTTTGAAATTAGTTACCAGAGGTTCTGCTTGACCTAAGAAGAATCATATGAAAGAGTATAATAACTAATCAGGGGAGATAAAATCCTGCTGAGAACATCCCCAAGGGGGAAAAGCTTATAGCTGTATTACTTTTAGGTAATGAATCAGAACCTCCAATTCTATGAGTAGCATGACCTCTGATAAATCATAGTAATTATACCACCAGTATTTGTGATTTGGGCTCAATATGAGATTAGGAAGAGTAAGCCACAGAAATTAAGTGCCAATGACCCAAGCAGAAGTCACCTAACTCAGTGGGTCATATTCTGGTTTACATCCACAAGCTATAGCTTTGGACCCAACTAACTGTGTGGATGCAATGTCATCAAAACTGGAAGCCGTCAGCCTATTTTCATTCATGAAGAGTTTACACACCCTGTGAAGCTGTGAGATCAATTACGAAATGTTTACTAAGTCACACTCATCATGACAGAACAGGTATGTCACCTGGGAATGTGACCACAACTTTAGATGGTGGTTTTTGTTGACATAGTCAGATACTATTAGTTTTTTAATCAATGGGATCTGAAACTTATAATCTCTATCTCTGAGGAAAACCCATAAGAAGAAAGAGAAAACACATAGCAGTGAAAAATCACTGAAACTGCTAAAAGACATACCAGCGAAGCGCCATCAGAGGACAGAGGAGTCACAAAGACTGACATGCTCTGTTAGGAGAAGCTATGCAAAGCAGGAGGGGAGTCCTTTGGGCAGAGTGCACACATAAGTAAAATTATTAAATCAAAAGCCCACAGCCATTCTAGTCAGTATCATCACCCACCAAGCTCCTGAAGGGGATAACTGCTCTCCGCTCACAGAAAGAAAGACCATTATTTCTTACTGTTGGGTAAGACGTACTGACGCTAAGATGCAACCCATTTAACAGTTACTTTATTTTTATTTATGTAGTTATTATTGCCTTTGTGTCAAGAATCAGGTGCCACTGGGCATTCTGCCAAATACAATAAAGTTAAGGCACTGTGCACATGCACGTCACTCGTCAGCAGGCAGTAGAGACCAGTTGGCCTCCTGATTCTGAGGGACCTTTGAGAAGGTTGAGGCGGGAAATCTGGACAGACATGTTTAAGGTTGACAGCTGCTCCTGTTTCCACATATATCCCAACAGGGGGAAAGCTCCATGGTGATTGTGAGTCACAACCCAAGCTGGGCTGACCTTTGACTTTGGCAATGGTGTCTTCCCCGTGCTCTGGCTCTTGCTGTGCTGCTTCCCCTTCGGAGCTCTCCACGATGGTGTCCTGGACGATGGCAGGGTTGCCAGAGGCCAGGCGCATGTAGTATTCTTTACTGTCATAGCTGATGGCCCTTCTGTACCGAGCAGGTTTCTAAGAAGTAGCAAAAGAAAACCCCCGTGATTCTCTCCTAGAATTAAAACACAAGCTCTTAAGGAGTTATGCTGTCAAGATTTTCTTGTACAGTATTCCTTCTTCAGGGGTTTTAATATAAAGACTGCATGTAGACACAGTGAATCCACACACTCTATGTTTAAAACTCCACTGATGTTTAAAATAAGGCACAGGTAAGACAAGGTTAGCAGTTTTGTTCTTCCTCAAACAGAAACAGGATCATCTGGGGCCAGGGATTTAGCTCAGTGGCACCACACCTGCTTTGCAAGTGCAAGGTCTCAAGTTCGATTAAAAAAAAAAAAAAGGAAAAAGAAAAAAAAGCAGCAGGATCATCTGTAGCCAAAGGGGGTTTCCAGGGTGGATTAGTGCACCCTGGCTGATGGCACTTCAAAGAGAGGAGAAAGCCCCCAACTGAAGGGCATAGACCCCAGGACCTGGGTGGCCCTCGAGGAGCATGAAGTCCCAAGTTTCTCTGGATCTGTGGCAATGAGCAGCCACCTCCTTAAGGTTCTGCTGAGTTCTGACCCAACACAGAACCAGCAGTCTTGCACCAGATGAATTCACTAGTTCACCTGCCTCAATGAGTTGCTACCTCCAATTTGCTAAAGCATTTTTGTTTGCTTGTTGTGTAAAAGATTATGATCCATAAACTTATAACTAAAAGTAAAGAAAGAACATATGTAAGTCCATTTTGAATAAGAAATTACCTGGAAAATAACTCATTTCTTTTTCAAATAATTAATATATATCCTTTAAAAAAATTCTCCAGTTGACCTAAATTTGTTTTTCTTTAAAATCATATGCAATGAAAAAGGTCTAAAGCACCCTATAAAATTTAAAACCACAGCAGGAAAAGTTTACATGTATTTAGATTCTTAAGATTAGACTTAGACTTTGGACGAAGAATTACAAAAATGTACAACAGGCTTTCAAACCTTCCTCTTCTAAACATTATTTTATTTCTCCTTTCCCATGTGTAAGAATATATAATGAAAATACTACCAGTTTACTCTTCAAGGCAAGGAGTCAATATGTACTGTCTACCACAATGCTCATTTCAACCAATTACTGCACTTCCTTGTAGTGTTGACCAGCTATGATGGAAAACAATGTCCAATAGGGGGAAGACTTAAACTGAAACAGAAGACCAACTCTGAGATGAAAGGCTACCTAACCAAAGCCATGTTACCCTTCTTTTTACTTCAGGTACAGGCTCAGGGGGTTAAGAGAGCGGCAAGCAAACTGAAGGATGATAAGCAGCCCATGGAGAAGGAAAAATATGTCATGGCTTTGGAAAGCAATAAAATAATAAATACAATTATGGAAAATCAATCCGAAGGGCAAACTAAGAACACTGCACTGTTTTTTTAAAATGAAAGAAAGGCAGGAAACTGCACCGTAACAATTCTTCTGAATGAGGTACAACAATCATCTTCAACTCAAAACTGCTGATACTTAAAAAGATGATGACATAGTGATGGGCAAGACAATGAATTAACAGATGTGGGACAGTGTCTATGTGGCTTCTGACTTCAAACACAGATTTAAACTTGAGCTACAAGAACCTCTCCCAATATATTTCAAGGTGCATTTCTGTGCTTTAATGCATTACATCCTGAATCTGCCTGGAAAAAACAATGACACATTTTTATACTAATTAAAATAAATTGTACTTTTGAAAGTGATTATATAATCCTGGTTTCCATTAGTTCCTTTTGACTCCAGAAAATAATTATAAAAAGGAAACACTTGCATTTTCAGTGTCTTGGAGAATTAAGTGAGTAACTGAAAGCCAAGCTGAAGGTGCTGGGCTGCCCATGACTAACGTGCCTGTCATTTGTTAGTTGTATGTGAAGCAGGACACGTTTCGCAGTGACAGCGGGAGGGCAGTGTTTGGCTGTTAGTGAGCCGCAGAGCTAATTAGGACCAAGCCGAGACAGAAGGAGCCAATGTTCCTCAGCAGGAAGGACACTGACTTTTCAACTCTAAAGAACTGGCAGAAGAATAAACTGAAAGCCAATCTTTTAAGTTAGTCTAGTCTACCATGCACTAAAATAACAAAACAAAACAAACAGAAAAACAAAAAACTGTAAAGTTTGCATTCTTTTGTGGTAATTTGTGTTTTACCTTTTGAGGAATGATATCATCAGGTGCCTCGGGCTGTTTACTTGGGATCTCAGACTGAAAACAGGTATTAATCACAGACACATCAGGAAAAAAAAACATAAAAGAACACAAAAATAAAATTTTCTTCATGACCATCTGAAATATGAGGACGTAGTCACTCAAAAGAAATTAACATGATCTCAGCTGCTTACACAATCACTTAACATCTTATGTTTCCACTTTGATCAAAAGTAGTTTTAAGTAAAATTTAATGCGTCAACAGTCTCAGCGCGAGTGAACACAACAAACTCTTAACAATCACACAGACAGAACAGCTGCACAGGGGTGATTTACAGGCAACTTCTTCCATGGTTTCTGAAGGAAAAAACTGAAATCTGGCTAAAAGAACCTCATGGTAGCTGGTATCTTCCATCTGCCTGGCCCCAATCTGCGCTGTAACTCGGGTTTAAACAATCACTTATAATATGCCCTATCACAGAATACACCAAGCACTGGTTACCAAAGATATATCCTCCTACGGGAGTCTGAGAACCTATTCCCTTCACTACACATACAGATACCATCCCAGAAATGCTGAAAGCCAAAAGCAGCCTGACCATCATCCCCCAATCCAAAGGTTTTCTTAAAGAGTACTTTTTTAAAGAATTAGGTGGCTGTTTGACGAACATGAAGGGAATTTCTGTATACTACAGTGTATGGCTAAATGAATGTAAGTACGCAGACAGCTACTTCCTTTTCACAATATACACATCTAAAGGTGACTTCTGGTACCTTTTCCTGCAGTAAACAGGAGCAAGCAAAATGTTTTCATGAATGTTTGCTTTCTGAGGCACTACCAGTGTGCTTTCAAAAAGTTTACATGGTTTTAGAGAACTTTCATTTTGAAAGGACATGTGCAAACATATTCCTTACAGTGAAGAAGAATCTGTAAAATATACATCAATGTTCTCTGTCTTGGGAGGGGTTTGACTGATGTAAGTGTAGCATGTGCATTCATTAAAACAGGCCATGATAAAGTAAAAACTTTTTTTTTTTCTGGAACCGGGGATCAAACTCAGGACTTTGTGCTTGCCAGGCAGGTGTGGAGCCACTGAGCTAAATTCTCAGCCCAAGTAATATCATTCTAAAGGCAAAAATAGATCAGGAAATTCAACATCAAAAGAGAGAAAAAAAATCATTGAACGGCACTCTTAAGATTTATGTATTTCAATGACATGAATGACCTGAAAAGAATTATACATATTGAACTCTAATGATATGCATAAAGAACTATTCTGAAATTCAACTCATATTGAAATTCATACAAAATAAGATTGCTGAATAAATATGTGAAACACCAATATAACAAAATGAACTAATTACTGTTCTCAAACCAAGCTTTGTACATGTACTACCGTAATTCTGGCCAGAATGTGGGCAGGGCCCATCAGGCTTACAGTTTCATATTCATTACAACATATGGCTTAGTATAAACTTGCTCTTCAGCTCACTGATTGAAGCTCTTATTTTACTAAAAGACCCATTATTCAATGGCAAATATGAATGTTACTCCAAAAATTTTAGTATCATCATGGTTCTCTTTTGTTTAAAAAAAGCACTAAATTACTGTTTGTATAGAAGTTAAAATTTTGAAAGTCAGAATTTCTAGAAAATAATTTTGCACTTCTTTTAATTTAAATCTTTCTATAATTCTCCAAATGAGCTTTTTAGTTTCCATGAGTTGTGGGACATATATGTATTCTATCAAAATATTTGTGCCAGTAGGTACAAAAATTTCCTTTAGTTAGAAAAGGAACCTTAAAAAAAGAGGGAAGGAAAGAAGAAAGGATAAAGTTAGCTGCCTGTCACTGAGCAGCCTCATGTTAATAGGCACACAGCCAGGTCTTTATTCCAATGACCTTTGCAAAGAAGAGCAAATTATTTTTGAGAGTATTATTTTATAAAAATAAGGAGACTAAAGCATTAAAACTTAGTTTAGTATTTAAATGTCATACTTTTTAAATGGCAAAATACAGGATCTAATTTCCCTTCTTTAGGACTCAATGAGAGAACTGCTTAAAAACATTCAGGTTTTACATTCTCACCCTAGACCTCCATCCTAACACTATCTATTGCTGATATTACCATTTAAATATAGAAATACAGCTCAAATTAGTAGTTTTAATCATGAAAATTACCCTCAATGGAAATTCACTATGCAGAGAGGATAATTTGTTTTTATGTGAGAATACAAATTTCCTACATGTACTTAATTCTTCTCAGGGGAGTCATACTTACTCTTACTAGTTCTTTTTTAAAAATAATTTTAGTTGGTAAACTTTCAAAGCATTAAAGTCTGTAGCATTAAAAATGTTTTATATTTTCCCATCCAAGTACCAACCAGGCCCAACCCTGGTTAGCTTCCAAGATTAGTGAGATCTGGTCACAGAGAGGGTGCTATGGCCGCAGACTGAAAATATTTTATATTCTATCAACTTCAAAATTCAAATCAAGTAATAAAGCTCAAAACTTACAATAGGTAAGCTATTTTATATTGTGTGTAACACTATTGAAGTTACAGAAATACAACTTTAGTAACTAAAGATTTATTTTAACACATTAAAAATTTTAAAAGAAACTAGCTTTTTATTCAGCCCTGTATTCTTCAACTGAAGTGAAGAATATACTTTAATGTATAAACCAAATTGTGCTGGAACTGTAAATGTCACTTAAAAACAGTAATTATTCTTAATAAAGGCAAAAAATTTAACCATATCCCCTTGCTCCAGTAAAGCCTGTTTTGCTATTAAGAGCCTTCAAAAACAACTTTCAGGTTGGCACACACTTGTGTATTGCAAAAGAGAACTGACTGTATTTTATAAGCATGCAGGCAGCAAGTTTATGGAGCCGAGAGAGAAGAACTGATTGATCTCTACTTCTGGAAAGCAGAGGTGGATTTACTATGTGGCTAATTAAGTGTAAACCTCAGGGGAGTTCACATCCCACAGGCCCTTTTCAAAGCCCTGGCCCTAATAATTTTGTATTCATAATTTTCTAGGTTTTTTTTTTTTTTTTTTTTAAAACAGGTGGTTCTCCCAAACTGTATAAATCTCAGAGCCCAGAAGATCTGGTTCTACCTCTTTTTAGTGGACAAATTTCAGAATTAATGAAATTCTATAGACTTCAGAAAAGGAAGCATTAGAGAAAATCTCTAACTTAAGGAAGAGTGTTGCTGGTTCATTCACTCAACATCTGGTAAGTACTAGGCACTCTGGCAGCACCTAAGAAGCAGTCTGTGTCTGGAATACAACCAGTGGCTACGGATAACATCTCAAAACAGGCACATGCCAGAGACTTATTTTTCCAAGTGGTTTCACTACTCAGGGGTTACTGACCAGCACTCACACCTTATTCTGTCACTGAGCAGCTGCAAGCAGATGGGGGCTTCACCGCCTAGCTTTCAGCTCCATATCTGTGAAACTGGGATGATAGTATTGACCAAATTTCAGAGGGGTTTTATGACATCGAAGTGCAACTTCACATCGACTGCTCTGCACAGCATCCAGGCCTCTGTGCTTTATAGTCACACATCACTGAGGGACAGGGACATGGTCTGAGGCATGCATCGTCACCAGGTGATTTCATTGTGGTGAGGACACCAGGATGTCACTGGACAATGTACTCTCATTAGACTGCTGCTGTGTCTCCAGTTCACTGCTGAACCAATCACTGTTATATGGCTCCTGTCTGTATTTGTCTTACTGTCTTATTTGATTTGAGGGTGAAAGTCAGTGAGACAGCAAATGCTTCTACTTTTTGAAATTTTCTGTTTTTGTTATGGCCAGATTTCATATGCCATAAGATAAAGTGGGTACTTAATGGCCTTTCAAATTTACAAAAGAGGGCCAGGGATTTAGCTTAGTGGTACCGCGCCTACCTTACAAGTGCAAGATCCTGAGTTCGATCCCCAGTACAAAAAGAAAATCAAAGTCTCAAATTTCCAAAAGAGTTTGAACCACCAAGACCAAAATAAAAATCAGTTATTCAGAAAATTTCATCATAACAGGTTAACCTGTACTTGGACATAGACATCTGTCATAGCTCTACATTCTATACCTCTCTCCTCTTCCCATCCACTTTCTCTTTAGGTGAGCATAATGCCTACTTTTCAGTATGTAACCCAGCTGTCAAAAACACATGTTCCACGGGGTGCATACTTATTATGAGACACTTGTTTAGATTTCACACTTAAGTGTGAACTCTGAATAGCTTATTTTATTTTTATCTGAAAGAGAAGTTTATATATATTTTTGTAAACAAATAACAGTGTTACAAAGAAGGTTAAAAAGATAAGGTAAAAAAATACTATGGTTATCAGAAAAATAACTCACAAGTAATGCTTCACTTAAAGCAGTGAATTGGTTTCATGTTTAGGAGAGCATATTTATTTTATAGTTTACTGTTCTGGAATGGATTCAACCCAAGTGAGTGTTGACTCAAGAAATATTCTATCAAATTTTTATGAGTATGAATTCTTAGAGAAAAAACCCCAAGAATTAGTGATTATACTGCTGCTTTGCTAATAAAAATGGAGCAAAAATATGGATGGATTAATCTTTTTTATACAGTGCTCTCATACTAGAAATTACAATATTTAAATTGTAGCTGTATTTTTAGTGTAACTCTCTTTCCAGTATGGCATTTTTAATGGAACTGAATAGCTTTGAGAAATGCAGACTTCAGGGAGCTATCTTCAAAAACCTTAGATATTAGCAGTGTCTAATAAGGATCTATATTCTTTTGAAAAAATTAAATATTGGCAAATTTGTTATAACTTGGCCCAGTATAATTTGGGGTACAAAGTGAAGTTATATGTACCATGTCCAGTATAAATGATTACATCAAGCTAATTAACATATCCATTACCTCAGTTATTTATCTTTTTTGTGTTGAGAGCATAAACTTACTCTCAGAAAACTTGAAATCTATGATACATTACTATTCACCATAGCAACTACATTGTGCAATAGATTTCAAAAAACTTATTCCTCCTGTCTAAGCGACATTTATACTTTTTTTGGAGGGATGTAGCACAGGGCATTGAACCCAGGGCCTTGTGCACACTGGATAAGTTCTCTACACTGGGCTATGCCTTAGCTACTCACTTTGCACTATAGGACCAATATCTCTTCATTCCTCCAGCTCCCCAGCCTCTCGTAACCACCATTCTGCTCTGAGTAGATTCTTCTACTCACACAGTTTGATTACTTTACATTCCATGCTAAGTAAGATCATGTGGTATTTGTCCTTCAGTGTCTAGTTTATTCATTTAGCATATCCTACTGATTCATCCAAGTCATGGCAAGTGACAAGATATCCTCCTTTTTTAAAAAGGTGGAATACTTACCACACATTTTAAATCTGTCATCTGCTAATGGACAATTAGGTTGATTCTAAGATTTATATTCTGTGTAGCATCAGAAGAGAGGCTGGATCAATGAGTGTAAGAAAAATGGGGCTGGGATTTTGGCATGGGACAAAAGAGGCCATAGGCCAAGATGCATCATGTAAAGGTACAAGTTCCCAATGAGAAATGTAAATGTGTTGTATACCTAAAATGTACCAATAAAAGAATTTAAGAAAAAAAAAAAGAGGCCATAGGGTGCTTATTCGGTACCAAACACTAAAAGCCCTAATGAGGTGCACTATTATTTAGGCACAAGGAAACAGACACCTAAAGAATTTCCATGAGCTGTCCCCAGGTGGGAAAGTGGCAGCACAGGTTTAAAGCCAGGCAGACTATGATCTAAACCACTGTGTGATGTCTTTCTGCTATACAGTTCCACCTTTCATGTCACCACCTTCCCCAACATCAATTTCATACATGCAACTGACCTAATGAGGAAAACACTTACACATAGAAAGAAAGACTAAATGTTCCACCACAGACATGTATTTCTGCATACTCACCGCCATGTTTGTCTCTTGCTCTGTTTCTGGCACATAAGGATAATGGTTATAAAACATGTCATTTCGCACCATTTTTTTCCTCATTCTGCAGGGCCCTTCCGTCATCTCCAGCATCCATTTGTCCAGATGGGACCCAATGGGGGGACCCCACAATCCTCGCTCTCTCAAGAGCTCACACTCAATCTGGCACCACTCCTCTGTCACGTACTTCAGGGCGTTCTGCTGACGCTACCAAAAATGTCCAGGTTGGTTTTCAGGCAAAAGCAGGAGTAATTAATAAAAAGCCCACAAATAATATCAAGTTATCATTCAGAAACAAATGCAATCCATGTCATTTCCCATGGGGCAGTTATAGAAGTAAAATCACACTTATTTATGATTGATGACTGCTAATGATTTTGTGAGACAGTGGGGTCTGTGGTGGAGAAGGCAATTCTTTTAGCATCAAGTAAGTGACAAATGTATACGGGGTATAGTATGTGGTGTGATCAAAATACACTGTGTGTGTTAAAATTAAAACATTTTTTGTAATAGTAAATGCACACTGCCATTTATTCTACCTCTAAATATCCCCCCTTGCTTCCAACACGCTTATCCAAAGCATAGTTCTTGCCTCTTTGAAGCATTCCTGGAAGTCCTCTTTTGTGAATATCTTTACAAGATGTGATCAGCAATGTGGTGAATCCTCTGCCGAGTGCCATCCATTGGGAACGCAGGCTTATAAAACATTACTGTGTGCCCTCGTCCACCTGTCCACCTTATTCACCAGCACTGACTTCTAGTTCTGCCCAAAAGTCACAATGACTGCTAAAGTAAATGTTTTGAATTGATTTAGGACACTGAGGCAGATGACAATGCAACTAAAGACACACAGGAAAGAACACTTCCAAAACTGCTGCAGAAAGTGGCAGGGGTGATAGAATAACTATGTTTGAATCAAGGGGGAGTATTTTGAGGGATATTATGATAATGTATCTCTTGCTGTAGTAATTTTTTAAAAATTTAAACATTTACTGTGTCTTTTGATCGCACCTCACATGCAAATTCATCAGAGAGTCAAAGAAAGGATGGTAATAATAATATTACTCATGGAAATACCTTAAAACTGTCCCGTGAGTTAAATTAATATGGTATGTTGAGGATGAACCTTGTACTCCAAATTATAAAAAGCTACCGACACATGTGTAGGGTTAAATCTAGAAGTCTGATCAAGAAACACTTATCAAGCACTAAATTGTTGATAAATGTATATATTGCTGAAGATTTTAGCTAAAGAATATAAACATACAAGCGCTGATGGGGGCTTGACTTTCACATTAAAAAATCAAAGAAAAACCATTTCGCATTGGGCACTGAGATAGATTCAAACCATTTTACTTAAATGGAAGTAAGTACTTGGTCTAACTTCTTACTATTTGCCAAACAACAAGATGTATAATGTTTTCAATGTAGGTAACTATATCTAGCTTACCTAATGATTCATGGAATGGAAGTACGCAATTTAAATCTAAAAGCAAAGGGGTTTTTCTGACAAATAACAGTCAAGATTATTGAGTGAATAATCATGAAATTAGGCAACATGGTAATACTTTTGTGTTCCCTGGGGCAGAGGGGATGACCCTGTGACAATGAAGGATCTAGTGTTATAGCTACAAGGCATTAACAGTTAATCATTTAGAAATTTCCCAGAGATTTAAAATAGCTCCTCTGGCAGTAAAATACTTAGGATAAGTTATTAAGTAATTATGAATACATCAAGAGGATTTCATTGAATTAATTTTTTACAATTCCTAGGGACATCTCAGCGACGTTGATACTTATTTCCACAATCTCTGCTAGCAGTCTGAAAGAAGGGGGATCATTCTCACACCCTTATTTCTGTTAAGAACAAAAACATGCAATATATCAGCAGGCAATGTTAACATGACTCGATTCTGCTGATTTCCAGTTTGCAGCTTTTTAAATGTAGTTTGATCACAAGAAGTTCAAATTTCCTATCTTAAAATCAATGGCCAAAACAGCAGCAAGCAGTCATAATTAAATTCATCATGTGGTAAGTGCAGTTCAGCAATGTACCCTTAAAACAAGAAGCTATCAGGAGAAACAAAGTCCTTTCATAACCAAGGAAGGCAGAACACACCATTGTGATGACCATGAACTCTTACCTCCTGATACTCCTTATACTGTGTGTCCACTAAGTCCCGAACAACAGCGATATGTGTGAACATCCACTGAGAGATCTCCTAGGGATGGATGGAGGAAGTCTAAATATGTCATACATTTCCTGGAAAAAATGACTAGCCTTGAAATTTATGCTGAACCTTGGTTAAAATCCTGTCCAAAGTATCTACTACAGAAAATAAAAGTACAAAGTGGTGAAGGATGAACTCTATGATGATCCAGTGGAGGCTACCTGTGACCCCACGCCTAGATATGCTGCCCCAGCTAACAAGGCACTGTCCATACCTGCGGGGAGGGACTGGGCTGCAAAGCGCCACCATGATGGCCGAGCTGGGAGAAAAGGCTCAGCTAACATTGACTGGCTGTTCTGGTCCCCACACTCCACCGAGGTCTGACATTTCCCTGTACCCAATCCTGCTTCTTTCTTCTCTCTTCCCCAGGGCATCCACAATATTCACCCTGCACACTAAACTGCCCCCAGGGTTTGCTTCCTGGAAACCCAGTTTGATACACGAGATGACCGGTGGACACTATTTTGCTCACACCCTCTTCCTAGCTGCCAATGGAATTCTGAAGGAAGTGGGATGAGGAATAAGGTGACAGTGGAGGTAGATGTGCTTTTCCTTAAAACATCAATCACAAGTATTTACATCAACATCACGAAAAAAAAAGAGCCATGTTATCTGTTAAATTTATATAATGTGCTGTAAAATTTATATAATTATCTACAACAATATTAAAAGTTTGAAAAACTACTTTAGTCTGTTCATCAATCTCTGAATTTCATCTCATGTCCAGTTATAAAATGGGTATAAATAAAGAGTTTTCATTATACAGTGTCATCACAATAAAACAGGTAAACTTCCCACAATCTAGGTTACTTCTATCTCTCTTCTGAAGCACAATGCAGAGAAATTCCATTTCAAATACATGTTGATAGCATTCTATCAAATAGTATGATTGAAACGTGAAAACAAATTCCCAGTGATGTCATTAAAAAAACCAAAACTAAACAAGGTACCTGTGTGGAAAGACTGTGTTTGTTTAGACCACTTTCCTTTCGATTCCTTCTTGATCCAGTTAACTTGGAAAGACCAAAGCCACTGCTAACTCGGGACAGTTTGGATTGTGTGGTGGGCACTAAAGCTTCTCCTCGACTTATGCTTTTCTTTTCATGGGCTAGGAAATTAAAATTAGATTATTTTACAATTTTTTCATTTATTTATTACTCTTGCTTTTAGTAATTTTTAAATTATGGCTGCAAACTATAATCCTGTACAGTAGCTCACACACCCACTGACCACGGTTTTGTTTTCTACAGTTCCAGTTACCTGCACTCAACTGAAAATATTACTATAATGCAAGGAGGAATTTTGAGAGGAGACTATACTCATATAACTTTTATCACAGGATATTTGTATAATTGTTCTATCTTATTATTAGCTACTATTGTTTAGTATTATTGTGTCTGTTTTGGAAGTAAACCCTCTCTCTCTCTCACACCCCTCCCCACACAAACACACACACACACGTGCACGTGCAAAAAGACATAGCATATTCAGGGCTTGGTACTATCCACAGCTTCGAGCACCTACTGGCGGGCTTGGAATATATCCTCAGCCAAAAAGGGAGGAGAATGCTCTAGTTATCTAAAGCATAATATATAACAGATGTAGCTACTGCTTTTTGATATCACACTAATTTGCTGGTGATCTTGTTTATAGATGGCAGCTCGAGAATTACTGTGCTAGGTGAATTTACACTTGGTTGAAATGTCAAAGCTCTGCAACAATATGTAAAGTCATTTTTACTAGAATAAATTTCTATGTTAATAACAGTAATTTCTTCTTTAAAACCTTACTTTTGGGCATGTTTTGGAGCTCAGAATATTTGGGATTTTCAAAAGGGTATTCAGTACAAATTCTCTATAGTGTACCACCAGAAGGTCTTGGTACCAAAAGTTTTAACATCAGGCTAATGAGAAAACCTTGGGTTTTCAAGGCTTTTCTAGTTTCAGAGCTATGGATAAAAGACTGTGGACCCTTAACCAAGACAGTGACCACAATAAAGCTGTTAACAATGCGTTATGTATTTCCGTAACTCATAAATATCTAATATATAACATAAATTAGATATAAAAAAGTGCCAAAAAGCCTGAAGCCAAAACCTAGCGGAATCATTCTAGGAAGGTTCTGCTGTATTAACTTTCATTTCTATGGCCACCACAGCATCCTCACAGGAATGTTTTAACTACATACCTAATGTCACCCATGTACAACCAGCGCATGACCACAGTTGGCCACTTACCCAAATGATTCTGCCAGCATTTCAAGCCAGCTTCTTCAATGAGTGGCCGTGCTATGGCTATGTCCACGTGCCCTCTCTCGTTCACAGGCAGAGTAACTTTGAAAAGTTCTTCCAAGACTTGTTTCTTACTATGGATCAGCTCAGTCCAAACCCTGTTGACAGCTTTTACGAGAAGCTGACGTCCTAGAAAATGAAGACAAGCAAGCAAATGACAAAGGCACTGCATAAAGTTAGCTCTTATTTTTCTTCATGTTTTACATGTAGGAACTTCAACAACAGTATTTAAACATAAAAGCAAAAAGCAAAAAAAAATCACTCATATTCTTTCCAACTCAGTGAAACGTGTTTGTCAGATAACCTAAATTAAGTTAGAATCTTTATGTACATGCAAGGAGATTGTATTTTTACTTACAAAGTTGGGACTTCTAGATAAAAATCTATCTGCCATTTAAGAAGGGAGTGTGCGTGTGTGTGTGTGTGTGTGTGTGTGTGTGTGTGTTTACAGGGCTGGGGATGACCACTGAGCCATACCTCCAGGCTTTTAGTATTTTTTCAAATTAATTTTATTGATACACTTTTGATATTCGTAATGATCACATTCATCATAATTTGTACCTGTACATGATATATCTTGATTGTTTTCCCCATTCCCTTCCCCTTCTTTCAATCCTTTTTCCTCTTTATTTACAAAAGCTTTATTTCCATTTTTTCTCTTCTATTCTCTTTTCCTTCTCTTCCCTACCTCTCTTCCATCCCTTGTTCCTCTTCACATTTGAACATTTTCTCCCTACTCTGCAATATCTATCATGCATTTTGGCCCTTATTTACCTTTTTAGCTTCTCACACAAGAAAAACAATGTTGTATTTAAACTTGTATGTCCAATGTATTTCATTTAATAGTCTCAAGATGCATCCATTTACCTAAAAATGTCTCAAGTTTATCATTCTTTATGGCAGAGTAGTACTCCATCATATATAAAAACTACATTTTGTTTATCCATTCCTCCACTCAAGGGCATCTGGGATGCTTACAAGATTTAGCTATTATGAGTTGTACTGCTATAACCATGGGTGTGCATATACTGCCATGGTATGATGCTTTTAACTCTTTTGAGAAGATACCAAGAAGGGGAATACTGGGTCTAATGGAACCTCTAGTTTTGGTTTTTTGAGGAGTCTCCATAATGATTTCTATACTGGTTGTACCAATTTACACTCTGACCAACAGTGGAGAAGGGTTCCTTTTTCCTCACAGCTCCACCAGCATTTCTTATTAATTGATTTCTTGATGATAGCCATTCTTTCTGCAATGAGATGGAATCTCAGTGTTTTAATTGGCATTTCTTAAAGGACCAGTGGTGTCGAATATTTTCTCATATATTTATTTGCTCTTTGTACTTCTACATCTGAGAAGTGTCTATTCATTTCTAATGCCCATTTTTGGACTGGGTCTTTAAATTTGAGGGGTTTGATTTTTTTACTTTATACATTCTAGATATTAGTCTTTCGTCTGAGGAACAGCTGGTAAAATTATTTTCCTATTCTGTAGATTGTCTCTGCATACCATTGGAGGTTTTGTTTGTACAGGCTTTACCTACACCTAAGTCTTCAAGAGTTTTAGTATTTTGTGTTCCACCAGATTCAGTGCTTCTGTTTTGAAATTTAGATTTTTGATTCATTTAAATTTTGGTTTAGTACACGGTGAGTGATAGGCGTCTAGGTTCAATCTTTGGCATATGAAAGCCAGTTTTCCTAGCACCATTTATTATTTTTAAAAATTAATTTTATTGGTACATTTAAGGTATACAATATAACGACATTCATCATTGGAAATGTGCACCTTTACCTAATCCATCTTGGTTCTTATTTTTTCCCCATTCCCTTGCCCTCCCTTCAAGCCCGCTACCCCTCCCTATCTACTAAGACTTTGTTTCCATTTTTTCTTTTTCTCATATTAATTCCATTCCCTTCTTTTTCTATACCCCTCCCACTTCCCCTTCCCCTTTGCCCCCTTTTCTTCCTATTTCACATTATCTATTATACCTTTTAGTCCTTATTTACACTTTCACTTTTCCACACTAGAGAAACTATTTGGTATTTACATATGTGTGTCCTATTTAATTCACTTAAAAGTATCGCCTCAATGTGTATCCATTTAGCTATAAATGTCTCTAGTTTCTTGTTCTTTATGTCTGAGTAATACTCCATTTTATAAAAAAAACACACATTTTCTTTATCCAATCTCCAGTTGATGGGCATTTGGGCTGCTTCCAAGTTTTAG